TCACTAATCAATCCTCTCACAACACCCCCGTGAGGTAGGCAAAAAAAACAATGTTATTATCCCCATTTTGCAGATGAGGAAACTGAGGCAGAGAGGTGAAGCGACTTACCCAACCTCAAAAGGGAACCACTGGCAGACATGGGAAACTGCATTTGCATTCCCAGCTCCCAGCTTTATGTTCAAACCAGACCACTCAGCCACAAGCAATGAGATAACTTCACTTATCAAATACCAATGATATGTGGTTAAATAGTTGCCATCAAATTATTTTCTGCAATTTGTAAGGGTAGCGGCTAACTGAGCTTTCCCTCTGGCCTCAACCAAAAACAGGATTATCCCCAATCCTCCCTGAAAGGATGGCTCACAACATAGCCCATTACTGTTGAGATAAATTGAGATGTCAGAAACAGTTGCAGCGCCTTCACCACACTGAGGATAGCCGTGAACACAGAAACAGGAAGAAAAGTAACCAAGGAGGTACCCCATCTTCTGTTCGGGAAGACAATTCCTCATACCGCAAAACTCATCACCTATTCCCAAAAATAGGATTTTCTGCATTAGTGAAAAGCTGGAAAAGTCAATTTTGGAAACAAAAGGAAGGGGTGACCAGTTATGGATTTATTATGGGAATATGCATTTATTATTATGCATATTTATTATGGGAATGGAGCTTATCTGGTACTTGAACAAACAAAGGCTACGTAGGTATCCCATAATAAGTATTTTGCACTGATATCCTACGAATTTTTAATGTACCCAACACCATGGTAGCTGGATGCCACATACATGCAATCCTGGTTTCTTTCCCTCGCACTACAAACCATTCATGACTAAGCCTCATAACCCGTCTTTGAGACTGGGATAAAACTGCTACCCAATTTTATAGGCAACTGAAATGCAAAAATTAGATGAATCATTCAAGATCACAGAGGAAATATGTCACTGTGCTGAAAACAGAATGCAGGTCTCTGATCCCAGTACAACATCAACTTCAAAAGCTTTTCTTCTTCCAGGTGCCCATCTGTGCACCTAAATGGAGATGCACGCACCAGAACCAGGCTCTAAAATCTCCTCACCCAACTGAGTGCAATTTTATGTTCAAAAATATAAAAGTAGGTGGAGGGGGAAAAAAAAAAGTACTTTGCACTGCCTTGAAGAATTTGGCTTAAATTTATCATCAGCAGGACTGGCTGCAGTGTCATGCAAAGCTTCCGTCCTGTATAATGAGAAAATATACCGTCCTTTCACACTGCAGTTTAAAATCAATGCTACTATTGCCCTCATAGTGCAAAAAGCCCTTTGCAAAAAACAAAGAGACTTTTACAAGAGGGCACCTCATTTGAAATGGATTTCTACTGCACTGTCAGAGTCCTAAATACTGCAGTTAGTCAGAAACGGTGCAGTTATGATCACACTTTTCCTGCTTCTGTCAACTGGGTCTTTTTCCTGCATGGTGCTCTCTCAAAATCTCTCTGCAGCAAAATGCCCACATTGACCCTTCTTGTTCTACTCCCCTCTTCCCCCCAGATATTCCTGTCCGTCTGACTACTACAAGCTATTGCAACAGGAAAAGTTGCTACATCAAAATCTGGGGACTGAAAAAAAATCAGGAAAAAGCATTGAAAGGTTACGGTGGGGAAGAATTTTTAGACAGAAATGTCATCCCAGCTTGGCAGGGAATACATCTCCCTGACAGTATCAGATTGGAGGGGTTTGATGTTTTAACAGCATTGTTACATTCCTCATAAAGCAGGAGTGCCCTGCAGCGGCAAATGAAAGACATTCCTGCTGCCGGTGATGCCTCACAGTCCCTGGGAAACAATTTTTCACCACTGCTTGGGATTCTTTTTTCTTTTCCAGGTGACTTAGAAAAGTCGCCTGAAAAAGTCCCCTGCCATTCTTGCAAGGGAGGAACTACAGTGTTAATGATAAACAGTAACCTTTCCACTTTGGACAGATTAGCAAAGTAAAAGAATCTGGCCCCAGGCATATTCTTTGCCACATAAATAAGCAGCTGTGTTTGCAGATAACCAAAAGGAGTTTCAAAACTGGGATGAAACGGGGAATATTTGGCATTGTTTGACACAACTCAAATGTTCTGGGTCCATGAGGGGAAGAGAAAGCCCTACAGGAGCAAATCAAAGCCAGACAGAGTTGTGAGAAGCAAGAACGTAGCTGTCAAAGAGCAGAGGCTATTTGCCAAAGCACAGGCCAGGATTTGGTAAGATTTCCTCTCCAGGGGGTAGTCATTGTGGTTGAAAACAGCCAAAATGCTTCCTTCCTTGGCCAGCTTTTTCCTCTCCCCCTCCCCTGCCAAAAAATCGTTAACTATGACAATAGCCAAGGTAAAGGAGATGGTGAAGAGACTGCTGTAAAGAATAAAGGAAGTTGTTTCAGAAGGATCCATGAGGCTCACTGGCTGGATTTCCCATCCCAGGGTCCTATATGGGGTACACAACTGGAAGAAAAAGGTGGAGAGAGCTGCAGCTCCAGCCTTTAAAGGTTGAAGGCCATGGAAAGCAGGGACCATCTGCTCAAAATGCCTGCAAAGTAAAAGCTTGCAGATAAAGCATTTTTTTTTTTGCGATTTTTTTATTTGGTCTAATAAAAGGTATCATCTCTGAACCAAGAGCTCTAGTGTTTTGCATTTCTTTTTGTCTCAGACCAACACAGCTACCAATATATCCCTGCAAAGGAAAACAAACTCGTACATGACTGACCAAGCGAGCTGGCATATTCTGACAGTCTTCCCTACATCTTAGTTCTCTAGAAATATATAATCCAGGAGACGTTCACTTCAAGAGCCCCAAGACATGTACCCTATTAATATGAAGGGTTACTACAAATAATTCAGAAAGCATTTAGGAGGCAAATGGCTTGCACAGAGCTTTACAAAGTAAGAGAAAAAGAAAGAGTGGCCAATAGTGGTCTTATATGGAAAGCTAGTACAAAAGCGATGCGCCTCTTCCAACAAAAATTCAGCAGGACATTTTCATGTCCCTCTGCAAAGGGCTGAATTTCACCTGTAGGTCGGTAGTGGGAAAATAAAACCTACATCTGTGCAGCGTGACTGGCACGCAACCAGTCTTGTGACATTTGCATGCACGCGTGCGCGCACACACGCGCACACACACACACACACACACACACACACACACACACACACGAGTGGAGTTTGCCAAATGGGATGGGACCTCCAAAGTCCAAGGTTCCCAGGAAAAAATTGAGTCGGTACCTACCAGCCATTCCCTTCCCCTTTGCCAGTCAAGACATTTTAAAAAGCAACTGGCAGGTCCGACCTGACCAGAAACTAGTTTTTCTGGTACCAGTCTGTGAGCTGATGTCACAGAAACGGAGCTGCACCTAGTGTGCAGTGATACTAGATCCAGTCCACATCCTAACGGAGTCTATGGCAATCCCTAAAAATGCACTGAAGCTGAAGAAATAGTTGAGCTGCAGGCAAAGCTGGACTCCCACTCGGCCAGTGGATGTGTCAGGGATGCCAATTATACACTTGTCCAAATGCTTTGATCCATGCTTGAGGTATTATTCAGGATATCCTTCCTCAAAACAGAATCTGTTCAGGGTATTTCTGGCCTGGATGAAAAGAACACTTCATCTCAAAACTTACCGAAGTACTTGACCTGTTGAGGTGGCTAAATCAAAACTGCTTTTTTCTGGCTAAGCAGGACTCTAGGATTTTTCTCCCAGCTTCAACCATTAGCTGGAATGATAACCAACCAAATCACCAGCACAATAAGATTGGGAACAATTTCTTGGCAATTTTACTTGGGACCGAGGTAGGGCAGAGGGCAAGGGGAGAACGTATGCGAAGAAGAGCCCTTGTTCTCCTAGGAAACATCTGAGGCATCTTCTACACCCTCAATCCACTTAAAACAAAAACTTCCATGCTAAATTCTTTACTAATGTAACCACTTATTCCCAGGCAGGCAAAAATCTTGGTACTCTACCACAAGGGAAGAAATGTGCAAAGATTGGAATACAATATTCAATCTCGCTACTTAAAGTGGCTAAGTATTTATGAATATAGAGATACTATTTTAATACTACTCAGCACTTTTAGAGCACTTCTCATTTGTGGATGTCAAAGTGCTTTGATAAAGGTGCTTAAGTACCATTTACCCCTGTTTTACAGACAGGGAAACTGAGGCACAGAGAGGTTAGGTGACTTGCCCAAGGCCACACAGCAAGTCAGTGGCAGAGCACAAAAATAGCACCCAGGTGTCCTGACTCTTAGTCTCATACTCTGTCCAGCAGAATGCAATTGTCCCTCTTATACAGGCCTGTGCAATCCAGAAGGAAGCTGACTGACAGATGAATCTGCCTTAATATACATTTGAACAGAATACACTCTGTTGAGAATTTGGAATTACATTATTACAAAGACTGAGCCATGGGAGTGTTAAAACCCAACACAACATTCAGTCTGAAAATGGTGGGAGGTAAAAAAGAAGGGACACAATGAAACTTTCAGCAACACTTTAGAAACTTGAGGACTGATGCAAAACGATGGGATTTGTTTTTACCAGCTGCCCCTAGAAATGATTATTTCGTTCTACACATCAGAAACACTTTCCAGAAGCCCTCTGAGATGCTGCTGTGCTCACATTGATCAGACATGGTTTGAAAGTGCAGACTGAAAGCAATTCCAATACAGGCTGGGTTTTTTTTTTTTTTGTTTTTTTTGTTTTTG